TGGTTGCAGGACCACCCAGTGGATACCAAAATACATGGATGTTCAAGTCCCTTATAAAAAACTAGAGGCCTGGTGCATGATGTTCGTGCACTGGGAATTGGGGGTGGTTGATCCTCAGCCTCGCCTGCGCCCTCTCTCAGTCCGGGACCCCTTACAGTGGTTCTCAACCTGTGAGTCTCAAAAAATGAAAATTCGTCTTGCAGGAAAAAAAACCCAAGATGGCGGCATAAACACCAGAGATTACTGCCTCGCACAACCACTAACAGAATACAGCTAAAAGAGATTAATAATGGAGGTAGAGTAGGAGGATGCTGCATGGCCATGCTCCCAGGAACAAGCTGGAATTACAACTGAAATACGAGAAGGCTTCCTGAATAATCAACGGAAAACTCACAGGAGAGAACCCAGATACCCAAGGAACGAAGGTGGAGCTGGCATAGAGACTGGTAGGAGGGGCAGAGACGTGACCCACAGAGGGGAACTGAAGTACAGATTGATATCTCAGCTGGTGATTGGGGGGAGGGGGGTGACACTGAGAATTCTGGGATCTAATCCCGCAGCTGGGCTCCCCAGCAGAGAGCACCAAACTGAGGAAAGTACCCACATAACATCAAGCTGTGAAAAGCAGTGGGGTGCTGTCTGCCAGGGAGTGGCAGCTGAAAGTTCGGGCACTCTCTTAAAGGGCCAAGGCACAAACATTTCCTCTGGAGCCACCCACCTTGTGCTCTGGCAGAGGGAGGGTGAAGTGGACTGGAGCTGTGAGAGCAGAAGCCAGCACTGGAGACTCGGGGGACAGAGCTCAGAAGGCAGACACCCAAAGTCTCCTCGGCTCAGTCATTCCCTCACACAGCCACATAGACATCTGCCTTGCCTGGGGGGAAGACTGTTGACACACCCTATTGGAAAACACCTTGCCCTGAGGCTGCTTAAGAGATTAAAAGTAACAATTTGAAGGAGTAGCAGCTGCTTGTGTAGCCCGCCCCCATCCAAGCAACAGCAGCCTCCTGATCACCACACCCTCTGTCTGAGGAACAGCAGCTGTGTGTGAAGCCTCCTCCCCACCAGCCAGAAGAGCCACCACAACTGTGAACAGCACCCACCAGAGGAGCTGCTACCAACTGAGAAGCAGCTGCTACCACAACTGCCCAATGAGCAACCGCAGCCCGAGGAGCCACTGCCACCCAAGGAGCAGCCACTGAAGGACTCAATATCTAGATATGGCGGTATGATCAAACATAAGTAGACAAAGAAACCCCCAAAGGAAAGAAAAGGACTAGCTAGAATAGCAGCTGATACAGAGGCATGCAACATGACAAAAAAAGAATTCAGATTAATGTTCCTAGAGTGCATAAAACGGATGGAGGAAAAAATCAACAACTTATGCAAGAAGCAAGAAGAAACAGATGAAAAACTCAATAAATTATGTAAGAACCAAGAAGAAATGAAGAGCGATATGGCTGCAATAAAAAACACCATTGAAAGTTTCAACAGTAGACTAGGAGAAGCAGAGGACCGAATTAGCAAATTAGAAGACAGGGAAACAAAACACACCCAAATTGAACAGCAATTGGAGAAAAAAATTAAAAGACAGGAGGAGAGCCTAAGGGAGCTATGGGACAACATGAAACGAAACAACATACAAATAATAGGGGTGCTAAAGGAACAGAAAGAGGAACAAGGGTTAGAAAACGTATTTGAAGAAATAGTATCAGAAAACTTCCCAGAGGTGGGGAAGAAAAAAAATCACACAAGCACAGAGAGTCCCAAACAAGGTGAACCCGAAAAGACCCACACCAAGACACATCATAATTACCATGGCAAATGTTCAGGACTAAGACAGAATCTTACAGGCTGCGAGAGAGAGACGGAAAGTTACATACAAGGGATCTACCATTAGATTATCAAATGATTTCTCAACCGAAACACATCAGGCCATAAAAGAATGGACAGAAATTTACAAAGTGATGCAAAGCAAAGGAAAGAATCCAAGAATACTCCATCCAGCAAGGCTATCTCTCAAAATTGAAGGGGAAATAAGAAGCTTCACAGACAAAAAAAAAAATGGCTAAGGAAGTTTATCACCACCAAGCCAGCAATGCAAGAAATGCTAAAGGGACTGGTGTAAAAAGGAGAAATAAAAAGCTCAGAAAGAAAACAGCCACACAAAAAAAGAAATGGCTACAGACAAGTACCTTTTAATAATAACTTTAAACGTAAACATTCTTCTGAAGGGCTCACAGGACATATTCTAAAATAGACCACATATTGGGTCACAAAGTCTCACCAAATTCAAGAAGACTGAAATCATACCAAGCATCTTCTCAGACCACGATGGTATAATATTAGAATTAAACTACAATAAAAACAACCCAAAATACTCAAACACTTGGAAGCTAAATAGCATGTTATTAAATATTGATTGGGTTACCTATGAGATCAAAGAAGAAATTAAAAACATCCTGGAAACTAATGACAACAAAAACACAACAATCCAAAACCTATGGGACACAATGAAAGCAATCCTGAGAGGGAAGTTTATAGCTCTACAGGCCTATCTCAAAAAAACAAGAAAAAATGATACTAAATCATCAACTCTACAACTCAAAGAATTAGAAAGAGAGCAACAAGAAAACCCCAGAGTGAGCAGAAGAAAGGAGATAATAAAGATTAGAGCAGAAATAAATGACATACAGAACAAAAAAACAATACATAAAATCAATGAAACCAAGAGCTGGCTCTTTGAAAGGATAAACAAGATTGATGAACCTCTAGCCAGGCTCACCAAGAAGAAAAGAGAGAGGACCCAAATAAACAAAATCAGAAATGATAGAGGCGAAATAACAACAGACCCCACAGAAATACAAATGATCGTTAAAAAATACTATGGACAACACTACTCCAACAAACTAGACAACCTGGAGGAGAGATTCTTCAACTAGAAGGAAAGACAACAGCATACTGAGGCTCAGAGGAGGCGCAGTGTGGAAAATATAAAGGTACCGAGGTGCGTGCGCAAAGCGCGCTGGTGGCTGAGGGAGCGGTTGTGGTTTTCAATCAGGAGGGAGTCTCAGACTCTGAGCTCCAGATCCGGGCGAGTCTCTAGGGACTCAGACTCAAACGGGAGAAGCGGGATTGTCTGGCATCAGTT